TTCTGCTAGATGATTGGAACATCGTCAACATCGAGACCTCTCATCATTTTGGTTCATCACATATCAACTATTTCATCTACCCATGTTATACCCAACATATTTGTAGATAAAAAAATACATATACAGTTTAAAACCTGTATAAAACATTCATTCAACATCCATTTAAATAAACAAACAACATATATATATATATATATATATATATATATATATACATAGCATGTATTTTATATAAAATACTTCATATATATGTGTAAGATGAAATTGACTATACACTCACTTGATTTAACGATGATTGGGAAGCAACTTGTCTCTTAAAACAATCGTTTCTGATAAAACCGGGATGTTTTTTCAAAAATCGGGCTCTGCGCGGGCAGAGTTTCGACTCGAATAACTCTTTTTCTTGGAGGCTTCGGGGTTCCGGGCTTTCTTTGGGTGTTAGGGGTGTTCCCGAGGCTTAGGGTGTATTTATTGCAGCTTAAAAGAAAGTATAGGGTGGAAAGGTATAAAATTTGTAAACAAAAATCAGATGGTCTCGCATGCTATTTATAGTGGTCGAAGCCTGGCATTACTTTGGGTGTAATTTCCTGGTACGCGGGGCGTACTGCCTTGCGAGGATCTACGTTGGGCGTACCACGATATGTGGCTCCAGATGTGTCAAGGGTGTGAGATACGTGTTGCATACGAGGATAAGGGCGACGTGGACAACCCGAGGCCTAGCTTCCGAGTACGCTGGGCGTACTCCGATTTTTCAAACTTCAAAAATTTGTAACTTTCGCATACGAGCTATGTTTTTGACGTTCTTTATATCCACACGTAGGTGAGACCATGCTCTACAACTTTCGTTTAGACTCCATTGGCTAATTTTGACTTTATTTTTAAATTTATATTTTTAACATGTCGGGACAGGAAAAATCCATTAAAAATTCACAACTTCTTCATCCGACATCCGTTTTTGTCTGTCTTTTTACTGTTGAACTACTATCAACAAGATCTTCGATTCTTGTTTAGGTTGTGTTGGCTAAAAATCACTCGATCTATAATTCGAATTTCGGGTTGCATACTGTTATACTAAATCTTAGAAAATTCATAACTTCTTAATACGAAGTCAGATTTGGACATTCTTTTTATGCACACTCTCGGTTTAATGTATACTACGAATTTCATTTAGACCGCTAAGGCAAAAAACACTTTATCATAAACTCACTTTTTACGTCACACAACGTCGTGTCGGTTCTATCACGAAACTTCAACATGTCATAACTTCTTCGTTATAACTCGGATTTCGGTATTCTTTAAATCTACAGAATCCTTGTTTCAACCACTACAACTTTCATCATAGATATTGGGTTTATCTAATATTTATTTTCGACGCTTATTTTTATCCTTAATTTATTAAATCATAATAATTAAGAATAAGCATATAATATTCAAATAATACATCTTTATTACTTCAAAAAACGTTACAAAAGTTGACCTAGACTATTACATCATCTTTAATGCTTTAGCCCAGAAAAACGGACGTTACATTTCATGAGTAAATTGTGCAAGCATATGTGTCGAAGTTTATCCGTTCCTTTTACCTGTAAATGGGATAAAAGCGATATTTGTTGGCCCCTCGATGATTTAGTGATGACACCCTAAGCGCTTGGCCAAGCCTGGACTGATTTGATTTGTTTAATTAGTCAGTCATCATAAAATCGGAAATCGGGAAACAAACCTTGGACATAGAGAATGATTATAATCCATGTCTCGTGTCTATACGATATCTTGTAAACGAAAGAATATTTGATCCCTTATCTAAGGACACATCACTGATAAGATCAGAGTTCGACAATGGCTTTTGAAAGCTATGATTGCTAGTCAAATTTTGAGGTCATACTTGCAATAATAGTTATTAGACTTATCCAAGTGGGAGACTATTGGATTAGGTGTCTATGACCATAACTATAATTGGTATGTACTTGATTTGATTATAGCATGGTCCTTTTGGGTTGCCTTCACTCATGCAACTTGACAGGATGACTAGTAGAGAGAGAGTAGAATTTATAATGTGAAATAATAAATTGGTACTCAAATGATTTTATTAATATATTACAAGATTAATATATTATTTGGAAATCATATTATTGGTTAGTATTTAATCAGAAATTAATTTGATATTAATTTTGGGATTAAAATGAACTGATTGATAATGGAGGAGTTGTTTTGCAAATCACTGATAGTTGCAGAAATGGGCTATTGGACTCCTTAATTAGGTGTGGATGAAATCCTATAGGGAGGCCCTATAGATTTTGTCTAAGGCCTCATAAGAATGAGTCTATGGGCTGCTTAAGCCTTAAGTAGGAATTAGGGTTTCCTCTAAAAACCCTAGCAGCCCACATCTATATAAAGACCCCTAAGCACTTGAAATTCCGACCAATGCTTGAAAGAAAGAAACCCTAGCCGATTTATAAGTGTCTCTCCTCTCATCCTTTGCATTGGGTGTTTGTGATTACATTAAAGGTGCAACACTTGGGGCACTAAGCTTTCAAGAGTCAAGGATCTTTAAGGATTGTCTTGTTATTACTATATAACAAGTGTGATAATCCTCTAACCCTAATTTCATATGAATTTCGAATCTTGTATGCTAGATCTAGGGTTATTGCTTTGGTGTTCTATTTGCATGTTCAATTAGTGAAAAAAGCTTAGATCCAAAGCAATTACGGTTGCATGATCACATAGGAATGTAGATATGCTTAATACCTATCAGGGTAGGGCTCAATGTAGGGTGGGGGCCCAGTATGTGATTTATTCTGTATGGTATGGGGTAATTTAGGGAACTCACTAAGTTTTGTGCTTATGGTTTTCAGTTTATGTTCCATGTACTTCTGGTTCAGGAGGGAAGAGCTCGGGATGACTGCATTGCACACACCATGTAGTTCCGCTTTTGTGATATACTTCGATTGATATGATGTTTGATACACTTATTTTCACTCGGATTGTATTAATGATGATTTTGGAATACTGCTTTATCTAAATTAAAAATGAAATTTTTAGGGTCATATTTTGGGATGTTACATTTATCAATGATCACAAGTTGTTATATTGATTGATCTACTTACGAGAGAGGTGCCTAGAATGGTCACATCGGCTTGGATGTTTGATTTTAGAAAGGCTATATGTCAAAATATTCCTGCTTGGCTGATCCTTACTTAATAGGTCTTGAAGTAGACTTTGAGATTGTTGAGGAATCTAAAACCTTAGGATAATGGTTCCATGAAGTTTGAATTTTGACTAAGACTTATCATTATTTACATCTAGGTCTTTTGGAAAAAGGTGTAAGGCGAAACTCTCCCCGATTCACCTATCGGCGAACACTTTTATCAGGTGAGTGTGTAGTTACTATCAAGAACATAATATTAAATCAAAAGTATTATCTATAAGCAGTATTAAGTGTTTACTTGTATTATCTGTATTATGTGCTACTTGTATAAATATGATAATACTATTGGATTAGGAACCATATTAGACATATATTGCCATTTTACATAAGTCCATATTAGTTAAATTAGGACTTGTAAAGGTATTTATTTCCCAATAAGTTGGAAATTAGATAGGTCTTATTCTGGGGTAGAGTGTGAGATCAGATAGCGTAGTGTCATATTCCTCATCTTTCTTGGATGACCAGAAATGGTGGGTCTAGATAAGACAACTAGCAAGTATATCTGGGTCATCGACCAAAGTAGATGGTAGCACTTGACTAAAGCAATCTAGTGAATTACGATGCTAGCATGGACTTATAATCCATGGACGTAAATAAAATGGGATACCTTATCAAATCTCTGAACATTGATTGCGTTTATATGACTTACATTGGCCAAGGACACCTCTAGTTGTGTAGTCAAATAGTTACTCAAACGATTTATCAGGTTGAGTGATTCCTCCATAGAATCGTTGCTTTAGGATCTATGACGATTAGTTGGGTTGTGTAGTTGATCTTAGGTTGAAATATATATATATATATATATATATATATATATATATATATATATATATATATATGATTTGACATCGTTGTTTGCAGGAATAAATTATTTATTATCATTAAATTATTATGGGCTTGAAAACCTTATGCATCTCACCAGGTTTTTCCAAACCTGACCCACTCATTTTATGTATCATATGTAGTGAATGTAAGGTTGTCGATGTCTAGTTAGGATGTTGAGTGAAATAAAGAGATATGTCTTTAATAAGTAGTTTCATGACCTTTTAATATTTACGTTGTAATATATGTTTAGATCAATGATGACATCCTCAAAGTTTTAAATAAATGAAATAATTTTTGGTTATCTTAGAAATGTTTTGTTTAAGTAGGAATTTTTTGCATCTCAATTGTATAAAACATAAAGTTAATGTTTTAACTGGTTATGAAAAATAGGGGATGTCACATATATCGACTTTATGGGTTTTGTACGAATGAGATCTTGAACATGTTGTGTTTAATGAATTATAGAGAGAGAGAGAGAGAGAGAGAGAGAGATGTATTAATTTGGTTCAAATCTCATGTGTTTAATCATTTGGGTTCATCAGTGTATGTGTTTGCGTTGAATCAGATTTATATTTATATTATTTTATATCAGATTTTGAGGTTTCGAATGTGTTCTTGTATATCATATTTTTGGAATTTGTCTGTTTGTTCATGTCGAGAGAGAGAGAAGGAGAATGAGTGAGAGAGAGAGAGGTTTGTGGTGTTCGTCGGAGTCAGGTGAACTTTCCAGCAAGTGAAGGTTTTGGAATAAAAAAGGGGGTGATTTTTTTGGTTTTTTTTTTCATTAATAAAACATGTAAAAAATATAAAAAGAAATAACAAGGGTAATATAGTTTTTTCAACCCTTTCAAAATCACAATAAAAAACATGTTTATGATAGTGTCAGTACAAAATATTTAGGACTTTAAATGAGTAAACGACAATTTTTTGAGTAATTATAAGGACCATTTTTACAACTTTATCAAATTATATGTGTAGCGTATAATTTAATTCTTTTTAGATGGACAAAAATATATGAAGAAAATATCAATTAAAAATGCTAAACGTCAATAAATTCTTCTTCACACTAAAAAACATAAAAGATGTGGCGAAGGAATCTAAAACTAATGAATGATAGGTGACATGTAGAGAGAGATACATACATATGTATCTTTCTCTCTCTATATATATTATAGATTATCTAAATAAATCTACTTTTGCCCAAAACCCCAGACCCAATTCCCAAATTCTTTTTCTAGATTACATTTGCCAAATGGGAAAATCAATGAGTGATCGAATCACAACAATATACGTGCCATTAAATATCAAAGAAGACGACAGATTGACAAACTTCAAGTCAGTCTTCTTCCGATGGCTTCTTAATTTCTAGAGAGAGAAACCCAAACAGATTTTGAGAGAGAAAGAGCGAAGATAGGGATCTATCTATCTTATCTGGGATCTCTTCCTCTCTCTCTTGTTTCCGTATCTGTTGATCAGAAAAAAAGTGGCCCAGCCGATCGGAGATTTCTTCTTTTTTTATCTTTTTCATGGCTGTTTAGTTTCATGGAACCCACGAGAAAGCTCGATTGTCGGAGTTGTTTGATTTTTTTCTTCCAATTTTGGAAATTCTGACGAAAATCGATTCTTCGAGCTCAGAATTCTTACGATTTACCAGAGACCCAAACACAAAAAGTACGAGGTAGATTCTTCTCTAATCTCCTAATTTTTTTTTATGTATTGATTGATTCTTACTGTTTTACGATTGAATTAACTGTATATGAAATCTGTCTTTGATCCGATTTAGGTTTCTATTAACCTTCATCTCGATTTGTTCAATGCTTATACTTGATTTTTTAAACAACTGTTTTCATTGGTGTTCGTGTGTGTTCCTCAGTTCTCCGATTTGTATCACTTGATTTTCCACTTTAACAAGCCAAGAATATTTTTTGTTAAAATGTCAAAGGTACGCTATAATTTCCAAAAGGAAAAGGAATCATCATAATCAATATGTTTTGTAATAAAAAATTGTTCATTTGCGTTGCTTTCTTTTACATTTTTTCACAAATTGGAAATGCTATTGTACTTGATCTTTTTACAAAGATGATGCTTAAAGTTTGTCTCAAATTGATTATAGTATTCTTTTACCATTTTCACAAAAGAGAAAGAAGGTTAATTTACAAATCGGTTTGTTCTTGATCTAATTGCAGAAGAAATGGGAGCCAAAGTAGAATCCAAGACATATTTCCCAAGTTCAATGATAGATCTCAACAATGGTTTTCATAATGATATTTGGAATCCATATCACGATGATAAAACTCACAAGATCTCTGGTCCCACAAACAGTCAACATTATAACTACTTTCTAACAACACAAACCATAGATGGATACGCTAAAGAACAGATTAGGCAAACTATCTTGAAGCATGAATCAATCTTCAAACATCAGGTTTGATTTTGAGTCTATCTTACTCAATTGTCTAACATCTTTTTCTTCTAAACCCAGAAGCTTTTTTAACGTTCTTGAACATACCCATGTTTAAATTTCGTGTTATTTCACCATTATCTCGCATTTCATCTACTATCTTGCTCAAAATTTAGCATCTTTTTTTCTTAAAGCAACAAGCTTTCTTATGTTCTTGAATGTACCCATGTTTAAAGTTCTTGTTTTTTCACCATTGTTTTGTATTTCATATATCTTTTCTCGAAATTTAGCATCTTTTCTCTTAAAGCAACAAGCTTTCTTATGTTATTGAATGTACCAATGTTTAAGTTCTTGTTTTTTCACCATTATTTTGCATTTCATCTTTCTCAAAATTTAGCATCTTTTCACTTAAACCCACAAAAATTTTAGTGTTCTTGAACATACCCATGTTTAAATTTCGTGTTTTTTCACCAGTTATGCATTTAATCTATATCTCGCTCAGATTTTAGCATTTGTTCTCTTAAAGCAACAAGCTTTCTAATGTTCTTGAATATACCCATGTTTAAATTTCTTGTTTTTTCACCATTTATATGTATTTCATCATCTTGCTCAAATTTTAGCATCTTTTCTCTTATACCCATGAAATTTTTAGTGTTCTTGAACATACCCATTTATAAATTGTGTTTTTACGCCTTTATCTTCCTCAACTTTAGCATCTTTTCTCTTAAAGCAACAAGCTTTCTAATGTTCTTGAATATAGTCAATATACCCATGTTTAAATTTCTTGACTTTCACCTTTTCTCTTATGCATTTCAACATCTTGCTCAAAATTTACCATCTTTTCTCTTAAACCCACAAGTTTTCTAATGTTCTTGAATTTGCCCATAGTTTAAATTTTGTGTTTTTTCTCTAGCTCAAATTTTAGCATATTTTCTCTTAAACCCACAAGTCTTATAATGTTCTTGAACTTACCCATGTTTAAATTTCTTGTTTATTTTTTTTATTGCGTTTCAGCTCCAAGAACTTCATCGCCTGTACAAAAGACAGCAAGATTTGATGAATCTAACGAAAGAAACACGTATTTTTTCCTCAAGTTTTCCTCATTTGAGCTCAACTTTTAGACCTTTCAATTCTATAAATGGGAAAAGTCTCGTTGTTCCTGAAAGACGAGTGATTGACTTACAACTGTCTGCTGATGAGCAAGAAATAGGAATTTTTCAAAATTTGACCCAAAAAAAACCGTTTAATATGGCCGATTTAAACAAACCGATTATTGATTGCACTTCATCTGCCAAAAAAACGTTATTTGGTGTCGAAATCAACTCGGTTCATCAAAACCATTGGCTCGGGTCCTTCGATTCAGGCAATTCAAGATTGATGACAAATTCAGAGTGGCAAAACCGTAATAAACATGAACAATCCCTCCCCCTTTGGATGACCAAAGGAAAAGAATCAACCGTTCATCATATCAACTTGAATTCATTACAGAATCATTCTCACCAGTTCTTCAACAAAGCTGACGTGGCATCAGATGATCACGAAACACGCGAATTCAAGAAAGTAAAACTCGATGATTCCCGGACAATTACCATGATTCTTGGTGTCCCGATTATTGACACGAAACTTGAATCGAATGTAAAACATGATATTGATTTAAACATGTCTCTTGATGAAGAAGATGCTCCACCTCCGGCGCCGGAAACACCACCTTCGCCCGAAGCTCCGGGACATAATTCGCCGGAAAACCCTTCCGCCATGGATTCCGATCTGGAGCTTGTGAACATCGCAGCAGAAGCTATTATCTCAATTTCAACTTTTCATCCGCCTGAAAATCCTGAAAAACCGGTAGAAAGTTTGCTGTGGTTTGTAGATGTGATTACGAACGATTTGGAATTGGAGAAAAGTTTTGTTGAAAAGAGTGAGGAAATGGATTACTTCGAGTACATGACATTACAACTTCAAGATTCGAAAGAAAATCATGATGATTTCTATAAACCGGTGATCATGGAAGACAAAAAAGAAGAGGAAAACAATAGTTTGTCGCTAAAAAGAACACCTCGAAAAGGACAAGGAAAAAGGGGGAAACAAAAGAAAGATTTTCAGAAAGATATTTTACCAAATATTGTTTCTTTATCGAGGCGTGAAGTTACAGAAGATCTTCAGATATTTGAAGACGCGTTTTCTGGGACAGGTGTTTTTTGGCAATCGAGTTTATCGAAAAGGAAAGGCGGTGGTAGGAGTGGAAGAGGAAGGCGGCGGTCGGTGGCGGCAGAACCCTTGTGCCGCCCACAGCCGCCACCGGAGCAGTGTAGGGAGTTGGCATTGGAGAAGAGTCTTGGTGGGTGGGGGAGGAGGACGCGGCGGTTGCCGAGGCAACGGTGTTCAAATGGTGGTAGTCATTATCGGTCTCTTGCTTTGAAATGTTGAGTAGTGGATCCCCTTTTGTTGTAGTGTTATTGTTGTAGATAATTATGTGGAACTTTTTATATTGTGTCTACTCTACTACAATTGATTAAACTTATCACAAAGTTATTTTGTTTTGTGTATTTGGAAGATAAATGTCGTTTAGAGTAATTGGTTTCCTATACGATGATTTATATGTGAAATTCAGTGTTTTTAAAAAATCGTTTGAACTGATTGTTCGATCAGGAATCAGAGAAGATAACGGTTCAATAACGATTGATTTTATGTCAATTTCTAGACTAGATCGAGCCACACAATTTCTTCAAAAAGTGCGTGAATCGGTATGTGATAGAATCGGTATAAAAACCATTTAAACCATTGGACTTGGATAATTAGATTATTAGTCCGTTAAAAACAACTTATTTCCAAAGTGAATTGAAAAGCTCGATGATCAGGTTATCCGGAATGTACACAACTCAAAGGTCAACAAACATCACTACTGGATACAATTTCGACGCAATACTTCTTAACCTAAAATTGATTTTCAGTTACACAATTTAAACAAAGGCTTGTGAGCTACGATTAATAATTCCTAATTTATGTGCTTAAATACATCTATAGTCTTTGAGGATGCATATTCATATTTTTGAACGACAAATATAACATACCCATATATTACTTCTAATTTATTTTGTGTGTTCAGACGAGATTTGAACCATCGACCTCAAGGAGTGAAGACTACACTTGATACCGTTGTACTAGAAGTTATTTGGTTTTTGAGAACGCTTTTAATGGGACTTTGACTTGGATTTTGATGGTGGTGGTAATGATGATAGCCATTGTGGTTGATGTGATCAGAAAAATGATGTCGATAGTGGAGTATAATGGAATAGGGGTGGCAAATCAGCCAATCATATCGTGTTTTTGTTTGATACGACACGACACGATAATGTTTTATGTAACACGAACACAACACGATACGATATCGTTTTTTTTTAATTAACATGAAAAAGAACCAATTAAAAAACAACAAACACGAAACAACACGAAAAAGATAGCATAAATAACAATTATTTTATTTAATTTATATTTAATCGTAAGTGACATGAAAGACACGACAAACAAATGCTAAATCATTTCACTTTTGTTTCAAATTTTAAACACGAACACGACATGATGTCGTTTCATTGCCACCAAAATCATAACTTACATTGTTTATAACCTTGATTGAAATTGATAAAAAAAATAATGTCATTTTAAATGGTCATAGACCAAAACCATAAGAAATTGAAGGCACATAGACTACTTGTGTAATATATATATATATATATATATATATATATATATATATATATATATATATATATATATATATATATAAAAGTAAGTATTGTGAATTTTTTTAGTCAAAAACCAAAAATATGAAGTCGTGTGTATTTGTAGAAATATCAACAGTATACAAAGATGAGTAGATGACGAACCACAAGGCACTGTGAATTCTGTTCTGATGTAAAAAAGGATTGAATATTACAATTAATTATAAATATTTAAAACACCTTAATTATGACTATAAAGATATTCTAACATCCTCTCAAACAAATACTCATGAAGGAAAACAAAAAAATACGTTAGGTAAAATGGGACAACCGCAAATTTAGAAAGTTGAAGGGGGTAAATTGGTATTTCTAGAAGTATCAGAAATAAAGTAATTAGTGCTTAAATTTACAACAAAGAAAACGTCGACAGCAGGGTTCGAACCTGCGCGGGCGAAGCCCAATAGATTTCAAGTCTATCTCCTTAACCACTCGGACATATCGACTGATTTGCTAAAGAGACTTTTAATGATAATAAATTTATTTATCTCTGGATGATGATCTAAGTAAAAATCATGTATGCCCACGGGCTGCAAACATATAATAGAAATTGGAACTTAAAGGAAAAAGAATTCGAGAGCCAAGGAAAAGAAAAAACAATTTAAGAACCTATTTTATAAAATATTAAAATTTATTTATATTGATAAACTCTCAAATTAGCCTATGCTTATTTTAAAAAATGAGAGAGAATTTTATATAAAAAAGCTTAACAAAGCACTATACAAAACAAGGAAATTACATAAAATTTATAATGCTGATTGGATTTCGAAACCAGTCAATCCAATTAAATTAATTTTTTAAAAAGACGAGACTAATAAAAGGAAAATAAATTGGGTTAAATGAGACTTAATTTTGGCAAATTTAGATAAATGTGTTCTTGTTATTGGTATGTTATCTGCTTTTAACAAAATGTTACTATACAAATTAAGATGATATTTTTGGGATGAAATTCATGCTTTATGGGTTAAATCAAAAAATTTCATTCATGGGAGCTTTGTAAGTTTCGAACCCCATTAAGTTTCTCATTTGCTCAGAGATGTTTGGAACTAGATGGAACGTAGAAAAATGATATTTTATTAACAACTCAGAGTTTAGCAACTAAGTGGAACATAGTTATGCCTGGAAAAGTTAATATTTTATTAGAGAGCTTGTTTGAACATATTGCAAATACATTTAATATAGAAAAATGATAAGATTCCAAGTTGATATAATAATTAGACACAGGACATATATGTACTGATCAGAAAGGTTGAGTCTGTTCAATTATGATGAATGGCTTTGGAGCTTTAGAGTGTGTAGGTTCGGTGGTTTGGCTACCCCCCCCCCCTACACACACACGCACATAGGGGAGAGAGAGAGAGAGAGAGAGAGAGAGAGAGAAAATTAAGAAAATGGAAGAACAAAGGCTTGAGCAGATTCAGTGGCAACAGATTTTACGGCTACAAATTTTGTCCTCAACAGGTTGTGTGGGTTTTTCGAGTAGGTTTCCTTCCACCCTTATAGTAATATAGTACAAAGTTAAACGAACTAATGTAGTATTTAAACATATAAGGTCACCACCACTATGGGTGATCATATGGAATAAAACACTCTAAAATTGAATTACTAAGGTATGAATCACTTTGGTTTTAATATTTTGAATTTATGATGACGTGTTGTATAAAATAATAATAACATATGAGGTAAGTCCATGAGTCATGACCATACCTATATCAAACGTTATGTGATTATGATTGATTGAGTGACTTAGTTAGATGTTGTCAACACTAAAGTCGAGTAACATACATATCAAACGAACTAATGTAGTATTTAAACATATAAGGTCACCACCACTAGGGGTGATCATATGGAATAAAACACTCTAAAATTGAATTACTAAGGTATGAATCACTTTGGTTTTAATATTTTGAATTTATGAGGACGTGTTGTATAAAATAATAATAATAACATATGAGGTAAGTCCATGAGTCATGACCATACTTATATTAGACGTTATGTGATTATGATTGAGTGAGTGACTTAGTTAGATATTGTCATAACTATGGCCGAGTAACAGACATATCAGATGAGCTTAGACCAAGTCAGCGACTTCTAAGTGTGATATCAAACAATTTGAATGTGACAGAGTTAGACCCAACACCTTACTAGATTTAATAAGAGACATATCAAACAATCATTTACACTCAACTCAAACGAGATTCAATAGTTCAATGTGTATTTCAGGCTTTCGGCTGCAGATTCAAGTTCGACTCAAAATACAAATAATTTAGAAATATTTTTAGTTTTAGTCTAAGTTCAAACTAGATTTGATAGCTCGATGTGTCTTTCTGATGGATATTCAAGTTTGACTAAAAGATACGAATAACTTAGAAATATTTTGAACATATATGTTAAATGAAAACTTATTTGATCCAAAAATAGTAACAACATGATGTGTTAGTCTTTCTGATTCAGATTCAAGTTTAACGTAAAAGATACGAATAACTTGAAAATATTTTGTACATATATGTTAAACTAGGTGTAAGACCCATGTAATACATGGTTTTATTAAAAATAAAAATTTAATATAAATTTATAAGCATTATGCAATTTTTAAAGCAATAGTTTTACATAAATACAAAAGATATAATAAATAAAGTAATTAATTTAATACATATTCTAGGAGATTTGAAACAAGAAGGAAAAAAAACTCTTAAAAAACATTTATTCTCATGTTTAATATAATGATCTACCTTACATATATAAACATTACTAAATTTTGGATTTTAAATTTAAGAAAAATGAAAAATATAAAAAAAAAATGACAAGTGGAAAAAAATAAATAAATAAGTCCTAGAAAATGACATATGTCAAATTCAATACGAACATGACATTTGGAAAAAATGATTTTTATTTATTAGGTTAGATTAGATAAAAACTTATTTGATCCGAAAATAGTAACAACATGATGCGTTTTTTTCGATATATATTTCAAGCTATGCGTTTAGGGGTGTTCATTTGGATGGATCGGTTCGATCCGATCCAATTAAGCAAATCCAAATTGATTTCAGTTTTCAAAAAATATATATATCTGAATAATCTATACTAAATGCAAATAAGATCTGATCCGAACCAATTACAATTCGGTTGGATCAGTTTTTATAATTCGGTTTTTAAACCAAAACGTTTTAAACGACATAGAATTATAATACTATCTAATTTTATAGAAGAAGCAAAAATAAATTATTTACTTGTGATTTAAAATTTATAAACAACCACTAAGAATGTATATTATAGTTTATTATTTAATAGATAAAAAAACTTTTGAGAGAAAATACCTATTAATGTCTTTTATTAAGTAAAACATTTTGAACTTATTTGAAATATTATATATATATATATATATATATATATATATTATATATATATATATATATATATATATATATATATAATTAATAAATAATTATAGATATATTGAAAGTAAAGACATAATAAATTGTTATTCAGTTTTTTTGAACTATTCGGTTCTTATTTTATAAACCAAAACCAATGCAAGATTCAAAATAATAATTCGGTTTATTGAAAACCAATTCAAAAATCCGAATATCCGAATCAAATAATCTATTCCAAATTGTTCAATTTGACAATTCGGTTTTATCTTTAAAGAAGTTAATATTTTAAGTTTGACTAATCATGATTTAGACTATGTTTGGCGTACTAGCTGAAAAATTAGTTGTTAGCTGAAAAGCTAGCTGTTAAATAAAAAACTAGTTGATAGTTGAAAAGCTAGTTGATAAAAAATGACCATTTGGTAAAAGTAGCTGAAAAGCTAACTGAAATATATAAAATTATA